TTCCTGGGTTCATGGGTTCATGGGTTCATGGGTTCATGGGTTCATGGGTTCATGGGTTTGGGGTTTGTTTGTTTTTGTGTCGGAGGTTTTGGGTTCGGGTGTTGGAGGTTTTGGGTTTGGGTGTTGGAGGTTGAGGTTTCGGACGGGATGCGTTTGCAAAGTTTTATTGCTCTTAATATTGATAATCAACGTCAGAATCGATGCTACACGCAACAATGTAAGGAGCGCCAACCTTTCTGACCATCTTCAAATGGACACATCATACATCAGAATTGTCATCCTTCTAAACCAGATGAGTATATCGGACAGAAGTTGTTGCTTCTTGAGGAAACCATGTCGGATCTGCAGACAAAGGGAACGGCATGTGGTTTTATTCTGACCGAAGACATGGTCTCTGCTCTTTCGGAGCGCCTTCAATGCGAGCGCAACGACATTGATCAAATCGTACATCTTTTACATTTACTTGAATATGATACTTCTTGTTGATGTCGTAGGAGCTGTATGTTGTAGTTTGATGCTGGTTGTGTCCGCAGCACCACTTGTAGTGTCACCCGCTTCATCTCTACTATGTTGATTGCCTACAACGTAGAACGAAGGTAGAGGTTGAGGTACTATCATGTAGGTTCTAATAGCTCGACCTTGTAGTTTCTTTCAAAACTCTTCGTACATCGACGAGTGAAGGAGGACAACACCACGACAGCAAGTGGTCCTCCATTGTACCCTGTGCAACCTATCATTCACAAGGTCGATCATTTGTCGCGGAACTCGCCCGATGCAGATTGCATGGTAGCGCTTGCAAATGAAGTGAATGCTTTTCTGCGACAGTTGAATTTAGTGCTCAAAAGAACCCATCTCCACGCGAATCCCGTTAAAGTACAGCGCTGGGAGAAGTGACTATAATAGTCTCGGGCTGTACTGAGGCAAGTACTGGGGCGAGTATTTTAACGGGATGGATTCACGGGATGGGTTAAGGGTAGCGCTAATGAATGCCTTGACTGATTTCGTTGAAATCAACTGCGCCGGTTTCCGAAAACTTTTGAAGCAACGGGCGAAACAATTCGCAGCTCTCAACTATCAAGCACAGACGGTATTTCGAACTTGATGATCATGTCGTGAAGCTGAAGATACTGATACTAGTACTAGATAGTACGCAGATGACACGACCTCCTCCAGGGGTTGGCTTTATGTTGGCAATCCAGATCAATGTCTATACACACTGGTTGCTGAATTCGTGGTTGAGTAACACCAGATAACGACTTTTGAATCCCTGATCATCAAGATATTTCGATTTTCTCCTCTCTCCTCCAGACAAACAAGCGGTCGCTGATCTCCTACCACACCCTCTGTCACCCAGCGCACCTCTCTCTGATCCAAGCGATTCATGTCTACATCCCGGCTCTCGAGGACTTCTTGAAGCGCAAGGCGGCACAAGGTACTTTTGACAAAAAATGAACAACCATGATCTTTAGGAGACTCATTTTCATTTTGTTTGTTGTACGTAGATTCATTTACAACTTAGAAGATGAAAACTGAAGACATTTTATATATATATAAAAATAGTCTCAAGCATAAGCATTGCATACGCATGGTGCACCACGATTAGGTTGCAGTGAGCTCGAGGAGCAGGTGAATTTGATTGATTGCGTGATGCTTGGCGAAGAGTGTACGGCTGTCTTGCACATGCGAGATCGCTTGTGGCCGATCGTTGAAAGCGGACAGTCGCAGGTCTCTTGCTCAGATATGGAATCTCCAAGAAATCCACTATCGGGAGTTGGAGCCTTCCAACATGCGTCCTTGGAGTCGCCAACAAGTAAGGATGGCAGTCAACTTTTTCCAGGTGGTGCAGGAGCAGGAGCCGCCAGGTTTGCTGGTACCTATCTGAGCGGTCGCGCGACACAGAACTTTGTCACAGCTGGAAGCAGTGCTAGCGGAAGCGCTAGCATGGCTACAGGCTTCTCTCAGAACTACAGTAATAAAGGAGGTCATTCCCATTCCGCTGGTGCTGGTACATCCCAGCTGGTGGACTGTGCGGAGGCTGACTCTGCGACAGGAGGAGGTCGCTCGAGTACAACAGCCGTGGAAGATCAATATTTGCATCTTCATAGTCGTGCTACTTCCAGTTCTAGCGCAGCTGCAGCAAACCCCACTAATGGTCCTCCACAAACCCCTGCTCGCGGAGGTGTTTCTATACATGGTACTCCGGAGAGCGGCTCATCCTCCGACAGCACGGCTCTCGAACATGCAGTTGATTCGGCGACCTCCTCCAACCGTATTAACCATGATCACCAACACGAGTACGCCGGGTACGACAAAAGGAACTTTGGCGGTGTGCTGCACCACAGACCCCCGCCGAGCTCGTCCGAAGATAGTTATGCGCAGCGAAATGCTGCTCCTTTCGACCGAAGCAAAGGCAAGGGCAAGAACCCAAGCGCCCTGCGACAAACAGAGCACGCCAGGAGTAGCACCACAGCTGTATCACGAGGATCAGCACAAAATTGTCCCACCTCGGCAGCTGCAGAGAGCTTCTGGACACAAAACAATGCACATGATAACTGCTCGGAAACTCAGCACAGTCGTAGGTGGAATGCACCTCCTCATGCAGGTCGCTCTCGCGGGAACAAAAATAACAACGCTCCTGCTAGCTCTAGCATGACCACAACCTCTGGTGCAGAGAATAACAATTTTTACAGCGGCTATCCGACATCAAGCTCGGGTTTGGTGCAGAATCACATCACAGGTTACCAGCACAGCAGGAACGAGGCGCAATCATTTGCAACATCGAGTAGATGCTCTTATCACGGGTATACGAACATCAATAAGGGCGGCGGGAAAGCACAGCACCACCAACTCCATGACCAGCGCAACACGGCAGCGACTGGTAATACTCGGACAACAAGTACAATACCCAATCTGTACACGAAAACTGACAACTCTAACAACTTCCAAATGAATTCTTCGCCTTGGATGAGAAATGCCTGTGGGGGAAAGGGCCAAAACAATCAGTGCCTCCCTGGAGGAGCACCAGGACGCGCGTCTTCGTCTGCCTCGTTCAGATACGACCAATATTTTCCAAATTCCGCTGATCAACGCGAACCTACTACAGGAGGAGATTCCTCTTCTAATAGTACCAACTTCGCTCAGCCGCCTCCACCACCCGTTCTTCCGACGCCTCCCTGGCCACCGCGGTATCCCGCTCCACGTCCATCTGATTTCGGTGCCGAAACTGGCAACGATATCGTTCCACGTGCTCTAGATCTAGGTAGCATGCTCTTCGAGCATCTTCCCGCAATGGCACCACAATCGAAAACGACAAATCAACATAGGTACGAAAACCGACTTCCGCTACATAACCGGGGTCTCCATGTCGAAGGTGACTATCACCTCCGAGACCCTGCTGCAATAGACTTAGACCACGCGACAGGTTATACTTCAAAAGCAGCAGTAGAGGCCGCCAATGTGCTACAAAATGCTAGCAGTCGTGTCCACGACCAATCTAGTATGCTATTATTTCCAGCAGCTACAACAACTTCACCGCCATTTTCACATAGTTTTGCGGCTCCTTCAGCAGCTGGCGCGGCAGCAGCTCTACATTTTCGAGCTGCCACTTCTGCAGCAGGTTTAGCGACCTATAACCAACATCCTTGGGACGATCATTCTTCGGCCCAGGAAGTAGGAAGGGCATCCAATTACCTCCACCATAACGATGAGCCAGCACACCATGACTACGAGCACACTAGTTGTACTAATTACAACTTCAACCTCTTCAAGAACCCAGCCAACCACAGCCAAGACCACCATGATGCAGTAATCAAAAATAATGCAAGTCGTAGTGCAACCGATACCGGTACTAGATCGTCTGGTATACAGGCGGCTCTACCCCTGACCGGTTGTACAGGCAGTAGTGCAACAGCTCCGTCACGGGGTTTTGGAGGGCGAGCGGCGATGCCTCCTCCCGAAATGAACCTCTCAGCTGCTTACCGTCACCCGCATAACGTTTGGGGTAGCTTCCGTGCACCCCCCGGAGCAGGACTAGCTCCGCCTTTCTAGAGCAGCGGACCACGTGGAAAATTTTCATTTTATAAAATATAATTCTTGCAGCAAGCGGAGCACGCAGCAAGATGAATAACCAAAACAAAGTTTTTCAGTTCTTCGGTATTTTCGTATTGGGGGTGTTTATCCTACATGAAATTGTTGTCGAAGCTGCTGTTGTACTCTTTCTACAACAACATTTACATTATCATTAACAATCAAACTGGACGTGGAAAAAATAGTAGAACAAGTACTACGTCAACGTCTTACGTATGATCTACAACATGTAGGCGTACTACTTCATCTAGAAGTAGATTTATTCTTTTCGTAGATCTAGAAGTAGATTTGTTAGGAAAATATCCTCATCCTCAAATCTTCGTGTTGCTGGCAATTATGTTCCTGCTAGGCGAGGGAGCTAGATAGCGTAACGCGGTCCAGAAAACTGGGCTAGTGAGCCAACGAAGAGCGAAGCCCCCGCTTCTGCAGCTCGCTGGACAAGGTTCCCCGGGTGCCTTAAGACGCTAAGGCAAAGAAAGTGAGCACACGAGGGGCAACGCGGCAGGCCGACGCGCACCTTGCTGCGCGTCAAGGTCTGCGGGGCCACTCCATCCATGCCATGGGGCCCACGGTCGGGAACTAAGGTGGCAAACGCCTCCTCCCGATCCGGGTCAACTCGACCCAACCGCCCTCCCTCTCCTCCTCGGCACGGCATGGAACGACTAGCGCCCGATGCCGTCCTCAGTGTTGCCTCTTCTAGATATCCGTCCGGAAGCCATGGCACCTGGGCGATCGCCGCCAGAGGATTTGTCGAAGACATGAGGGAGAAGGTAAGCGCCGAAGGATCAGAAAACTTCTACAAATGTGCCACAAAGTGCGACACTTTTGGGACATAAAACCTGCGGACATTTTGCGGAATCTAGTGCCCCTAAGCTTCAGGAGAGGGCTCGGCGAACCTCTGACAAATGTGCGGCAGAAGCATGCTTTTGCGTTTCGCAGTTTGGAGCAGTCTGAAACAGATCCTCAAGTTTTGCACGACACCCAAAGACCAACGCAAAAGGCAAAACCTTGCACCCGCAGCGCGCCTCTCCTCTGCTACTGTTTCGCCATTGCCACGCTGCGCTTCAATTCCACGCGCGCCATCCGTGGCCTCTATCTTGGCTGTCTCCCTTGTCGAGAGAGACTCTCTCAGGGCCACCACGTGACGCCCCTCCATCGTATGAGAACGCGGGAAGGCGCCGAAGGTGGGCCTGCAGTCCTCCTGGCTGAAGGATATGCTCGAGAGACTGGCCGGGCCAGCTTCTGGGGCCCGTGCGGCTTCTCCTCAAATTCTATCCCACCACCGACGACCTCCACAAGCCAGCAGCTCAAGCGGACAGTCGCGCTGATGGGCTTTCGCGCTCGCTAGTTATCGCCAGACCTTTTCTGCGGAGTTTCTGCTAAATATAAAGTTTTTTTTTTTTATTGCAACAGGATCTGAGGTGGATGTTGAGGATTTTTTCCGTTCGATACGAAGTCTCTAAGACTCTAAGGCCTACTTGATTCTTCTGCGTTATGATCGTGCATGATTGAACTATGCCGATGTCGACTACGGTACGCAATTTTCGTCCAAAATTGAATAGTTCTCGTTACTGTTAGTGCCGTTCGCGTGTTTGATGTTGGTTGTCCTAGTTTTACATAACTTTTGTTGATGTCATTATAGTGATTTTCCGCGTCTACTTCTTCGTCTTCTACTAGTACTAGTCCTACATAGAGTTGAAGTAGAATCACTGAAGAGTGTATTCAGTATTCCCCGGAAGAACATGACCAGTGGTTGGCGAGACACTGACTTGCTTGGAGCTGCTATGTGAAAGCTTGGGCAACAACATGAATCTGAATGTCATGCAAACGCATTCTATGTAAAACGTGCCTGTTGTCATGATTTATGGCTGCAGTTGACAACAAAGAACTGGGGCACGATCAATGCTCAAACAGTCATTTTCGAGATCATGTTCATGAAATTGAAAAAGAAGAGCAGAAGATGAGAGTTATTATTTATATAATTCCATATACTATGACATTTTCTCCAAGAACATCATCTTCTAGCTTTATTTCATCAAGTCCCCTTATAATGGTATCCCCAGCCTCGTAGCGCTGAAGATGGTAACCAGGGACTGCATTTCGAAATTTCAACCATAAGTTGATCATAATTACAACAGCCATCGGAAGATGGCGCAAGCACGACGAAAATAAATATGGCACATGGATATCATCAACATTTGAATACTTAATAATACTATTTAATATAAAGAAGGAGACGCATAGATATCGACCTGTACGTAGTTGCAGTTTATTGATGATGTTGTGGATGATTAGTAAAAAAAGATAGTTCTTGTAAGTGTAGCGACTGTAATTGGTGCATGTCGAAACCAAAAACATGTTGTGGTGAATAAATGTTTATAGAGAACAGCAGCAATGCCAATGCTACAACTAGTTGCTTCACTTATTTTACGAGATAGACTATAATCATTATTTGATACGACCAACATCTTTCTTTGTATCGTCCCGCTCATGCTGGCCACTAAAAATCAATCGCCGTATCAGCATTTTCGTCTAGTGCCCTAGTTGATGCGTGCATATCCTCCATACCATCCTGATGGATTATGAAGCCGTGTAAAAATTATGTGTATCTACGTAACACCTCCTGTTCATCCATTTGTAGTATTGTTGCTACTGCTACCTTATCCACGCTCGTCTGGGATTCATGCTGTGGTGTATCAGTTCTGGAAGATTTCTAGTCGCAGTACGCGAATGGAAATGCGCTGGCTTTTTATCTTCGTCGAATTATGATAATCGAGCAACTATAACTAAAAAGTGAAAGACAAGTGGATACCACATAGCAGGAGGACTAGCACTATACTAAGAGAAGCTTATTCAACAGGGCCCAGCGAGGGTGGTTCTCAGTAACATAGGTGAGTCGAGCTCCGCGCATCGTCCAATAACCACTTTAATTAGAATGACGTCGCACATTGAGTAACGAGTCACCTGTCGGGGGACGCGTAGCCTAATTTGTAAGTGAAAAAGGTCGTGACAGTGACTGGGGGAAGAGTCAGCCGATGCAGACGGTTCCGACGCAGCGAACAATAGAGAACTAGCGGCAGATGAGAGACCTCAGGACAAGAGCGATCGAACAACATCAATATACGTTGCTTGTTTGACTGACAGAGTGTATAAAGAAAGATGTGAATACATGAGTAAGTGAATAAACCGAAACCAGGAACATATATTATAACTTAACAGAGGATGTACACCGTCCTTCAGAGGCGGTGATCGGTCTAGTTTTATTCTAGGAAGTAGCGATTAGAGTAGCGCCACCAGCTCTAGGCCCCATTGTATGTTGGCTCTTGAGTGGCCAATTACGTCCCTCCGCTAGTTTTTCTAGTGGTCCCACACCTAACCTAACCTAGTAACAACCAAAAGACAACCCAATAATGAACAAGGAAGATGAGCTCAAAATGTCAAGCGATCATTTAGATTCAGAACAACAACAAGTACTCAATGCTACTTGGGACGCTCTGGTTGCAGCGTGCAGTTCCTCATTTTAGCTGTTCTCGGTGTCGCATTTATTCATCGACAGCATCATGTTGATATCTGCAACGAGCCCGTGCGCTGGGTGGAGTTCCGGTCGGCGTTGCTGACGTTGTGAAATTTGTAATGAAAGCTGCAGCAGCAACCGTTATTGATACCTGAGTGATGCCTTGAAATATGGTGCACCGAGATAGAGTGACAGTGTCAGTGATTGTCTGAGCGAACGGAGTGAAGCCGGGTGAAAATGAAATATTGCGAGTCAATTGTTTACTGTAGGCGAAGTAGCTTGAGGCGCAGCAGATGTGTGAGGGCGAGCCGTACGGGTCTTTTTGAACAACAAGCTAAACTTTCACCATTTTAAGTTCGTTGTGGACGTCCTTTTGTTTTGTCCAAGGAGGACGGCGTAGATTGATAGAAGATAGAAGGCCGCTAGTAGGTTGTCGAGTGATCAGTACTAGATGAACTGGTTGATTAAGATTATCACTTCCTTTTATTAGAAATATCTGCTTTGCTTTTGTCAACAAGTAGGATGAAATTGAAAGACGAGCAGCAGCAGAAGTCTTCTTTTGCTGACGTGGTCGCGTCTTCACAACAAAAAAACGAACTATGCTGCGAGAAAGACGATGACACTGGGAACAAGAAAGTAGATGAAAGTTCGCTAGCCGGACTTGGGTTCTGGGGGCTTGCGTTTACGATTCTGGTCACATCCATTGGCACTCCTTTGATTTCGGTTGCTAGCATGGCACGTGAAGTGACACCAGTTTTAGCGGTTGTCCTCTGTGGTCTAGGTGTCTTGCTCGGCACAGAAGCGAATCGGCTGATTGCAGCTACTTGCGATATATTGGAACGGAGAGATAATATTACCGGGGAGGAGGTGGACACTACAACGAGGGAGCATGTTCAACGGGATCATAAAGTAGCAGAACAAGAACACGAGGAATACGAACATAGCCCACGTGAAGAACACGACAAGAGTTTCTCTATCAAATTTAGACTCACTTCTAAAAAGCTCAGCGGAGAAAACGAGAACATTGGCACTGTGGTCGGAATAGAACAGGAGCGGGCAGATAACAAAATGACACCACGTTCTGCGCCTCTCGATTCGGAATCAAAAGGCCACTCAGCTGCAAGAGTAGGGCAAGCTGAATCCTCCTCATTACGAAAAAACACTACGCCCGTGAAATCATATGCTGACTACCTTGAGCGATGTTTCCAGAAGCAACCCTTCATTCTTCGACTAGCTTCGTGCACGCTCTTCGTCGGCTACTTCACGCTTTTTTTGGTAGGTGATATCATGTTGGTCAACTCGCTGATGCAGATTGGTCCTTCGCAGGGAACGCGCCTCGGCTACACACTTGGCTTTCTACTTCCTCAGCACCTCTTTCGAGCTTTCGCGAGCCGGTCTTTTATGCCTGCTGGTGGTTTTCCTTTCCCGCCAATCTTAATCTTTATTCTTGCTGTTCATTGATATTGTTCGACGCCAGGAGCAGCAGCACGGACGAAAAACCACGTAGAACTAGAATCGGTTCAACATGATTTACTTAAGTAGATATATATTTTGGAGCAAGTAGGAAGTGCAAGCTTTACAGCAACAATATTCGGAACCAAGCACAGGCTCTACAGCTCCTGTTTCTAACCTGTTATTGAACTGTGTAACGCAGTCTCTTGCAAGCGGGGTCCCATATTTGTTTATGGTCGCTGTCGCTATCCTCCTCTTTGAACTGCGTTCCCAAGAGAAAAGTGCAGATCGAGCTGCAATCTTCGGCTTTTACGATGCACAACGCGAACTGGCAAGACCAGAACAACGAGAAGGCACTTCATCTCTACTACGCACAAAAACAAATGGAAGTGCAGAACAACCTGGTACTGGTGGTAGTCGAAGAGACGAGCCTATCGATTCCCCAGAATTTCTCGATTACTGGCACACCTGGTTTCCAGGAAGTGAGCACCTAAATTGCCGATTTCTGTTGACGGTAATTAGACTTGCGGGCCTCGGGTATTATCCTTTTTCCTGCGCCTCCCTAATCCCGACACTGCGACTCCAGACGGTTCAGAAACAAGCCCTTGTGCGGGGCATTGCTGGTGAAGCTGATAAAAATAGGAAAGAGGACGGGGTGTTGATGGATTGTAGTGAAGGTACAAAGAACCGCAAGAAGGAGAAGAACATTGCCTCGACAAAAACAAAAAAATCAAGCGACCTAGAAGATGGTGGTGCAAGAAGCCTAGAAGATGCCGGCCAAGCCACTGCTAATCAAGATGAAATGGTTGCACTCCTGTTTGAAGCTCAACGCAAAAACAAAGCTACATCTACAAGGTCACGGCCTATATCTGGAAACGGAATTTGCCGCGCTTCTTTCGCTGCCTATGCTTCCGTGATGCTTCTGTACAGTGTCATAATTTTCTTTGCTTATCACGTTTTTGGAAACGGTGTTCCTGATATGATTACCGAAGCGCTCAGAACAGGGAGAACGACGATAACAGCGACAGGTCTATTCAGTTCCAGTTCGCAAGGTGCTGATTCTGAATATAGGTCGATTTCGACACATGCTCCATTATTTTCAAGCGATGAGGATGAAATAGTACAACGAGTAAGAGGCGACTTCGCCAATGTGGCGGACCACGATGCGACAAGTGCCAGTAGTCGATGGTGGTTACGCGTTTCAAGCAAAGAGCTTAATGGAGTAGTATCTAGCAGCTTGAGGCGCGACATCAGCCCTTCTAACCTTTTTCGTGGCGATTGGCCTGGAAGCAAGCAACAAGGCGGTACCGAGTTCTATGCGCCGTGGAGTCAGGGATATCTTACGACTTCTGACAGTAAGTAGATAGAAGTGAAGATCATACCGATACTTACCATGACGATCGATAAATAAGTTCAAGTTAGGAGAAACGGCATCGATCACATCCCCATACCTGACAATGGCGAGCGATGGCCAGCCGTTGGAACGAAAACCACTTTTTTGTGAACCACTATTTTCATAAATCCACCGCATAAATCTTTCAGGTACTAAACCAATTTTCTACAGTACGCGCGAAGAGCGTTTACAACCTTAAGAAATTCGGGCGGATTTGTTAAATTAAAAAGAAGGCAAATTGATCGCAGTTTTTGTTTTTGGCAGGTCGCTCGGAGGTGGCGCTCCGGGCCTGACGATGGCAGCCAAGGAGCCGAAACCTGCCAGCTTTCGTTGTTCGTTGTGTGCGGTCATGTGTGTGGTTGCTTGTTTTCTTGTTTTTTTGTTAGAGTCTGAGACGGCGCGAAGTTTCAAGACTTTCGGGCGGTGTCAGTCTTTCCAAGCAGTACAAGCAAGAGCGTGCTGCCCCGATTGAGTGGGCCCCAGAGGTCTCACCTCGTAGGGGTTCGCGTCGCTGTCTTCTTGGTTAGTGATTCTCGTCGCCTTGCTTGTCGTCTTGCCTGGCGTCTGTGTTGGGGTTCAAGATGCTGGCGAGCTTCTCTGCGTGCTAGCTTATTCCCACTGGCTTGGCTGTCATGGGGGCGGCGCTTGCTGAGTCCATGCAGCTGCTAGAGGAAAAAGGCTGGCGAGGAGACAGGGCTGCGCGACGTCTTCGGGCGACTCTCCTCAAGCTTTGGCGGCCGCCTGTTCAGAGCTTGGGTGCACGCAAGTCCGCACCCACGTCGACAGGCACAGGAGAGCATCAGGAACGCTGAGGCAAGCAGCGCGCTGGCCCCTGCTGCTTTTGCATGAATAGGCCCGCGC